TGACAGCCGCCATCTCAGGCCCTGTCTTAGCACCCAGTCAGGTGGAGGAGATGTCTCCTCAGCCTTCCCCCTTGCTGAGGGCCACCACAGGGCTGGGGTGCTGCTGGTGCCAAAATGACAGGCGGTAGCACCTCAGGGACCCCCAGTGCCACCCCTCTCCACTGCACTAGGCGAGATGGGGGCTGAGGCTGAGGGCAGCATCAAGAGGGGCATGGCGGTGGTTTGTGCCCAGTGGTCCATGGGACTCCTGGCTGAGGGGAGTAGCTGCAGGATGGAAACCCTGCAAGGATCCCCCGGGTAGCACGGGAAGCCGCCCTGAGTGGAAAAGGGGCCGGTCCCAAGCTGGGAAGGAGGAGAAGAGGGTGGGTCGTCTTGCCTCCTGTCAGCCTCCTCACAGCCTGTCCGGCAGAGCAGGCAGCAGCTGCAGGCAGCGGGGCTTTCCTCTCACCTGTGGGGCAGGAGCCCCGGCCGGCTCTCCCCCTCCACCATGATCTTTTGGCTGTGGCTCTGCTGGGGCTTCTCCACCTCGACAGGACAGTCTGACTCGGAGCTGATGGCGAGGTACCTGGAAGAGGAGCTGATGGCAGACTACAGCATCATGGAGCAAGTAGGTCTTAAGGTGGTCGTCGTTCGGGAGCATCTGGTGGCTGGGGCTGGCTTGTCCTCTCTTAACTCTCAGTGTCAACACAGAGAGCATTCTTCTAAAACCACATTTATTGCACCCGTCCTTGCAGCATGCCCACAGCTGCGGCTCAGCTCTGTGGGAGGCTGCTACTAAGGAGTAAGGCAGTTGTTGGAGGTGCTAAGCCAGGAGAGCACCGGCACCCTCCTCTGAGGGGTGCTGCTGCTGGGGGACGGGTTCAAAGCTGGCATCCCCATCGCTGCTGTGGAAACGAGACATTTTGCAGGGACAAGGGAGTTAACGCAGTGTCCTGGCCCCGTGCCAGTCTGAGTAATTCAGAGTATTTCAGGCTCAGAGGAAAGTTTTTCTGCCTATGGTCTCAGTCTTACCGTACTTTGATTTTTAACTCATGCTGGATGAAACGAACCACATGAACTTCAGCTTGTAAAATGCTTCTTGACCAGCAGAGAAAAAAATGTGTTCTGTGAGTGAGGGCTGTTATGTTGTGTTATTGTGTGGCTTAGATTTTCTGAGGAAATGGGCTGAAAGAGCAATGAACTTTTTGCAAGTTAGCAAATCATTTTCGGTAGTGGTTTGGCAGGCTGTGATTTAAAAGGCTGAGCTTCTGATCTGTGCTCACATCCTTCAGGTCCGTTACAGATACCATGTGTGACTTTGGGCATCCATCAGTTATCTAAATTTGATCAGATCTGAGAGGCTCTGTAGTATCTGAGACACCTATATGGGACTGGCAGATACAATGCAGGACCTATGGAAGAGCTGTGCCTTGCTGGAGGCTAGGTGGGATACCCCAGCATGTCTAAAATGTCGGTGAATGCCTGTATTTGGCATCTTCTGTCATACAGTAAGGAGCAAGAGTGAGAATCTTTATATGTACCTGTACCGGTCTCAGAGTTGGTCGTTCAGTCACTCATCCTACCTAGAACGGGAAGAATCTCTTTCCAGAAGTGCCCATGTCTGCATTTCAATTCAGCCACAAACCAACATTGTCTTGCAGACCCACCTGTCCAAGTGGGAAAGAATATCTCCACCACTGTCCTGCCAGTGGAGTGGTATCTGGGAACACTCACTTACCTGCTTTAGGGGGAAAATCAGTTGTGAAGCTCAAGCAACTGTCTCACAGTGTTGAAATAACCTGACTGATCTTGCCTGAGGCAATTGAGGGTGTTTTCACAGGAGCTGCGTTGCTGGCAGATCACTGGCAGCAGTAACTTCCAACAGAAAAGGAGTGATGTACGAATAGAGGTGGTGACCTAGTCCCCTGGAACAGCCAGATCTAGAAGAGGACATCTGTCTGTCTTCACTGAACACAAGCCAGGTTAAGAACAGGCAGGTGCTTCCCTAGATCAAGATACTAGACTATAAACAAATCTCTAACAGATTCAGGAGTGTGTATAGGCTGTGTTTAACTGTAACCTCCTGGGAGGATCTTCCTACACAAAGGCAAGTACAGATATGGGTCTTTGCAGAATAGTGGTATCTGCAATGAGTGTGGACTACTTGTTGACTTATCCAATGATTGACCACTCTGCTGAGGTAGCTGACAAGGTTGCTAGTTATTACCATTGCACTAGAGGTAGTTCTTCCAGATAACTCTTCACAGGCAGTTGGGTTGCTACTGCCCAGCTTATTCTCTGTGTACCATGCTAAGACTAGCAGATGGCAACAGCTGTGGGGTCACTACTAGCAATTATTGGCTTTAACGAGTGCTTTGGAAGGCTTAAAGCTAAAGATTGAGGGTAACTTGGAAGTTATTCCATTAGATGATACTATTGAAGCTGGCTGACTCGAAACAGTTCAATGGACTGATCAGTATCATAAACCTTGCAGCAGTGCTTTGGCTGTAATCATGAAGTCCTAGCAAACAGAATTCTGTTATCTGGTGATCCTTAGCTACTTACCAATGTCTATGGGTTATCCTCAAGATTTCAGCAGGTAGCTTTTGAAGGAATCAAGTCATAAAAAACCTTTTTATGCAAATAAGCAAGCAAACAAAATGGGTGTGTGGTGGGGAAAGATAAAACCAGTAACCAAATTTCCAGTTTCACCAATTAGTCAGTAAAAACCATTGTGACCATTCCATACAGGACAACTGATGGATTTGTTCCAAAAGGTAATTCTTTAATGAAAAAAGTACTGAGGACCACTATCTCTCATCCCTGCCTTTGCTGCAAGCAGGACCAACTTCACAGACATTTGTCTGGCTTGTTCTGAAGAACTTACAGTGATGGAGACACTGCAGCCTCTCGCAGCAGGCTCCTGAGGTGCTTTACTTGCCTGAGATAACAGACCCAGACAGAAAGTTTCTTCCAAAATTTAAACTGCAGAGAGTTCCTCTCCTCTCTGCTCCGTTCTGCTTTGAGAATTTCCCAAGGGAGCTGTTTTCCCTTGGTTTTAATTTTACAAGATGTTGGCTAAAATAATGCAGAAGGAAATAATAAAGATTCTAGCGGAGGAGACTTTAATTTCTCCACTGGGCTTTCCTGAGCTTTTCAGTGCATGATATAAACAGACATAAAATCATCTCTTTGGCAAGGACTGCTGTTATTTCAGTGTAAATCAACAGAAAGGGCAAATCAGGTAAAAAAATATCATTGCATTCCTCCGCTCTCTGGAGTTTCACTGGCATTTTAAGAAGTCACTTGGCTTCCCTCATTGACAAGAGACTTGTACTCTCTGTTTTGGGGAGGGATTTGATTCAGAGATGTTGCTAAGCTGAGACTTACACCATATGCAGGGAAGAAGTCAGAGGAGTTCTTGTTGTTGTGAAGGGCGATACAATGAGTATGGTTGCATTATCATAAGTGAAGCGCTTTGTTTTTCATAATAAAATTTGTGTCTGAGTTTAAATATCTTTATTCCCTTTTTGCATATAACTAGTGCTTTTCTGTCACCCCAAAATAAATCCACAGTACGTGTGGAGAGTTTTTAGGCATCAGATCTGCTATTGAGGTAATACCAAGAAAGCTGAAGCTGTAACATTAATTTAGACAAGTCCACCCTTGGAGCGGGTCCACACATGCAGCTGAATGGAGTTAGGCTTGCTAAGCCCCACCACATGGGTGCTAGGTGTTAACCTGGTGACTGCTCAAACTCAAAGCAGCCACGCTGCGCTGAGCTGAGGACAACCTCAGGTGACTGGGCTTGTCGTGCCCTCAGCCCTGTGTCTGTAGCCCACAGTGAGTGCTAAGTGTTCTTGCACAGACAAAGACCACATCTGGACTGGGGAATGGGCTTTGGCTTTTACTTACCTGAGGATGTAGATGGACTCTGTGTTGGTATTTGACAAGCATTATGGACCATTTGGCAGCCCTTCTCATCATGTGCCATATACCATGCAATGGGGCAAAGACAGTGACACAGAGCCCTTGTGTGACTCTGTAGGAAGCTATAAGAGAATACACTTCCAGGGCCAAGACATAGCATCCAGGGCTAGGGCTAAAGGGTGAAGTTCCTGTCTTCATATAGAGGATCTCTTGAGAAGTAGCATTTGCAAAACACACAGCACCTCCTCAGCTGTGAGAGCCGCATTCCACTGTTGAGCTTTGATCAATGGGTCTGTTAATATAGAAGAGATTCAGGTTTTAATTTTAACCAGAGGAACATTTGAACCTGGCCATGGGTGATCAATCACAAAATGCTGTGTCTGGATTTAAACAAGTGACATGTCTTCTGTAAGCTGACTAGGTTCCATTAACTCCCTTAACTCTTTGCAGGTCGCACGCCGTGTTCCAAGACAGGCCAAATTTTTGCAGAGGCTGGTATGTATCACACTGTGTCTTGATTTTACCTCATGAGAATTAGACTTGCTCTGTGTATATATGTGTGTGCATTCCTGTGCCCAGGAATGAACTATGTCAGTGGGTGATCGTAGAGCGAGATTCGAGGTAAAAAAAATCTTCATTTTGATCAATGCAACAGGTATAGGTTCTTCTTCTAATATTTCCCAATTCGTCATCTCAGCCACAGATGTGGAGAGAGAAGAAATCTTCATTTTGATCAATGCAACAGGTACAGGTTCTTCTTCTAATATTTCCCAATTTGTCATCTCAACCACAGATGTGGAGAGAGAACATCCAATCTTACAAACCTTAACCATGCAGTGAACATAAGCCTGATGAAATGTCATTGAATTTGAAGAGAAAGGGAGAGTTTGCTTTGAAATTTGAAGATCTCTGTTGTTCTCTGTCCGAAATTTACTGAAGAAAGGAAGAAAACGAGGAAGCCAATATCCCTCCTTCAGCATGGGAACCTAAGTTTTAGTTGTACAGCAAATCTATGAGATCTGGCTATACAGCTGCATTGAGAGTTGCACAGCTTAGATCAAAACTTTGGCTGAAGAAGCAGCCAGTGAAATTGCTGTTCATAGCTGGTTATTTTTCTGGCTTTTCTGAGGGATAGGGGCTTCCCAGTTGAGAACTGGAGGAACTCATTTCACACACTGAGCAGCCATCACATGTTAATAGCTTCTGGTCCCTTTGATCTTTGACAGATTTGAATCAGCAGCCTAGAGGAGAACAACTCTCAGACTTATTACCAGTTTATTACTTCTAATCTGAGACACGGTCAATTTGTTTTGATGAAAGCAACTGATAAAAGTAAGAACATGCAATCTATTTAATTTCTCTTCAGCTCTTTTCCGTCTTTCCAAACATTTGATGTAAACAAGCATGAAATAATTTGTTTGGCAAGAAATTTTCATCTCCCAGTTCATCATAATAACCAGGACACCTTCATAAAGCGTCCAGCCAACCTGCCTCATAGCAGTGTGCTAATCTGCTGCCTTGGTGTTCCCTAGCTTTATTTTTAATAGGGATAATAAACCACAGTAATAATAATAGTAAACGAATGATTTGTTTTGTTTTTTTCCTTTGTGCTGCCTCTTATCTTCTGAAGGCCTTAATAAAAATTGGACAAAACAGGCATTTGCACAGCTGTAAGTGAGAGCATCAGGCACTGATGGATTGTGCAAGAGCTCCAGGAAACGCACAAGAATTGGAGACTGGAACTTGGGCTGCCTGCCAAGCCCGACCGAGCAACCTATTTGGAAACTACCTCTTTGACCCCACCGTTTATATTTTCTATATACAAGGAATGGCAGATCCCTTCCAGGGATGGGAAGATGAGTCAGTTCTTTCATGCTCAGTTGTATGTGATGCCCTTATTCAGTGTTTGCTTTCTCCAACAGCAACTCCTGTCCACCAGGAAGAGGCACTGAATGTCTTTTTTCATTTGTTTTTGCTGTTCCTCAGTCTGTGAGGACATCAGAACTGGAGCTTGTTCAGTGGGATAGAGAGATATGACAGAGATCAGTTGAAGCCAGCAAATAGTAGATTCAGCAAAAAACCCTAAGTGATGTGGTTCAGATATAAAATAACATTAAGCTGTGGAACTTCCTACTGCAAGATACTGCAGATGCTAAAAGTTTACATGGATTCAAAAAGCAGCTGTCTAAAGTCGTAGAAGGAAAATCCACAGAGGTTTTGCTCTCACTCAGTACAACCATTCTTACCTTCTTGTCATAACAAGGGCAAGTCCATGTCCTCTGTCATGTTTTGAAGACTTTCTGACTTCAGGTGAATCCATCACTGCATTCACAGTGTCAGATCTGTCACTGCAGAACCACTTGTATCTCAAGTAAAAGGCAAAGGGCTTAATCCTCTTTTTCTGTTGAGCTGTCAACTATATTTGAACCCATAGCTTATGATGAAATGCAGAACATGGGAGTGGATGCAGAAGATCTGGAACCAAAGAATTTGCTGTAGTTTCAGATTCTTTTACTTCTGATACTAAATCCTCTATATCTCTTGCTATGCCGCAGGCAACTAGTGGTATGGAAGACTCAATGAAACATCAGCTCATTATATCTGGAAATATTCCTACAACACTACTTCCAATCAAAACTCCCCATTGACTCCATCTTCAGTATAATGAGACTGGAAAGCCATGCCTATGTATCAGGGAAAGTCCTGAGAACAGCAGGGTCTAGTTCTAATCAACAGCTACTGAATAAAAGCCACTAGTGGCCTAAGGGAGGGGACATTAGATCTGAGCAGATGTGTTCTAGTCTACATCCATTGCACTGAGCTGTCTGAAATCAGTGAGATGAATCACACCCCAGAAGTGCTAATTTCTTGCCATAGTGCTCCAAGAGAGCTGAGTCTGTGCTAAGCAGGATGTGCGTGGACACAGAGCACATCACACATTCTCCAGCTGTTAAAGACATCTATCATGATTAGGTTCATCTGAGACACATTTATCAGAGTCTTTCCAAGCGTTGAAAATGTGGGCAGGTGGGGCTTTATTCCAGGTCTATTGACAGTTTTGTGTTTGTTCCCAGTGGATCCTTATTCTTCCATTTACCTGGAATTCACTAGCCCAGCAGCTTGGTTAGTTGGATGCCCGTTAATAATACTGATTCTGATGCCATCAACTACTACAGAAATGTTCTTGTTTCATACTTACACAAACATTTGCTCCCTTTGTTAAGCCATTTGTCAAAATTATTTTTGTTTGGAAAAAAAGCCTGGAAGTGCAGCTGGGGAGCATGTTCTTGTCTTCACAAGTCTTATGTGGCTGTGACTTTTTCTCAACCTCAATAGGAAGAGTCTCGCTGTATTTGGCTTAGTGAAGTTGCCCAGTATTTGCAATGTATTTTACTCTTTAGCCTCCTTCTGCTTTTGATGGTTCAGTCTTTGACTGTTTAAGGCAATGTACAGAATTTTTTTTCCATGGGCTACTTACAGTTAAATACACCAAAGTCTTCCAGGAAGAAAACTGTTGATCTCCATGGAGATGTTGCTGTCAAAAAACACATTAGACTGGAGAAATGCTCCAACCCAGGACTTGTGCACAAAAACACATTCCCAAGAAGCAGAAATTGGCTTTCAGCTTCCATTGCTACATCATGTGTCATTCATTGCAGTCTCTGCTGCTTCTCTACTGGAAGGAATCCAGTGTGGGCTAAAAGGCTTAAAATATTTTGCTTGAGACGTCACGATGTCAGTGTTTCTTATTAAGTCTCTTCCATCCATTGGCTGAGATCTCCAGGACAGATTCTCAGCAGAGGAGGACTCAGTTGACTCCATTGACAGCAGTTTTTCTGTTTACATAACTTACAGATCTGATTGTATGAATTTGAAGGTGCTGCTTCATACAGAGTGATCTCAGTCTTTCAAGAGGTCTTACACCTGCTTTTGTGCACAGTACACAGGGCAGGTTCTGTAACATAGTTCTGGACCCTATGGGGACATATACTGGACTTCTCTTCCCAGGCCATAAGGGACTAATCCTGATCCTCTCACATGGTCAGAGTTGAAGGGTGTAGTTTAGGATATAGGTGGATTGTGTCAGTGTGTTTCACAACATAAAGGCTGGCATAATCAGAGCTCTCAGCCTTCCTGGATCCTTCCAAAGCATTGGAAATAACAGTGGCGTTTGCTCTTGTGCATGAACAAAGGCAGTGCCATGTTCCTGGTCTAGCTTTTGTAGCTCATCTGGAATTTTGAGGGCAAGCCCACCTTTGCCTGCTGTTGACTGTTTTTCATAGGGGAGTCTAGTATTCATAGGGTGGTAATTTACTTCAGCATATTAAGTATTAAAGCCACTGAAACACTGCAGGGGTGAGCTATCTAGCTGTCAGTGTTAATAGGTAACCTTTTGATACCTACAGGAAACCAGGCCTCGGATGTCTGAATTCACTGTGAAATCCACAATCATTTCTCGGTATGCTTTCACCACGGTGTCGTGCACAATGGTGAACAGTGGATCTGAGGCACGAGAAGGTGTGTTTGAGATGCAGATCCCAGCTGCAGCCTTCATCTCCAACTTTACCATGTAAGTAAGCAATGCTGACAGCTGGGTGGACAACGATTTTCCCATCCCACAGATAGTTCTCTGAGATTTCAAAAACAAGCTAGTCTGCAGTAGGACTGTATCAAGGCCTTTTTGCATTTATTTGAGAAAAATAAACCCACACACATGCTATACTCCATCTCAGACTGGTCATGGCCCCAAAGCACAGAGCAAGTCCTTGGATGACAGGATGCTAAGATTCAAAATTCAAGTCCTCAATGTACATGGGGAAGAAAATTATTCTATTTCCCATCTGAGTGTCTTAACAACGTCCTTCTCCTCTTCTCTCTCTGATTTGATCCAGAAAAATCTCTCCCAGCCCTCAGAAACCTTTCCAATTAAAGTTTCAGCAGCACTGGCACACGACAGTTATCTTGCCTAACCAACTGTGGTGCCTAAGCAGCTCCTTATTGTTCCAGGTTCTCCATACTGTCAATGGAGGAGGAGAGTCAACTCCACCTAGCAGATAGGTTCACTTGCTGCTGGAGGTGCTAGTCATTCTCTGTGGATAATAGAGCAAGTAAAGGGAAACAAAGCTCGTACTTAAATGACTCACTAAGGAATAAATTAAGCTGTTGACTTCAAAACCATATTTGGTTTGGTCATACTCAGATCCTTTCTCTATGGGTAGATATTGGGGCCACAACTTTGGACCTGACCATAGCAGACAGACGACTTGCTCTTTTATAAAGACTTCCATTTGGACTGAATAGGAGGAAAAACAGCCTTTTGCCATTGGTCAACCAAAACGTATGTTAAAGGCTGTTTCCGTACGGAATCCATGGTCTTGTAACTCATTCCCAGGGAGAAGTATTTCAGTCAGGGTGGCAGCTACTTGAGAGCAGTCATCCTGAATATCACCATGTGCATTGACACAGACGGTGGATCTGTGACCTGACAAAAAAAAATGCTCACTGGGATTCCTGGCAATTGCTTTGTTTTCTGGATTTAATCGTTATGCTTTGGAAAGTACCCGTTGAACTGGCATTTTAGAGAGGTAAACTGCTGGACTAAAAGTGTACTCTGCTGGTATAACCAGTCAGGGAACTTCTAAGTCAGCTTCTGTCTTAGTGACTCGAGTGGAGTCCAGGAGAGTTACACCAGCAGCACACTTAGCCTACTCACATGTGCACAGTCTGTGAACCCTTCTACAGCAAGCTGTACAGCTGTCACTGTCTATGAGTGCAGAGTGATCACGCTGACATCTCTGGTCTCTCCAGGAGCATCGGCAACAAGACTTATTATGGAGAGGTCACAGGGAAAGAAAAAAAACACAGCAGTGATGACAAAGCAAGGCAAAAGAAACCTCCGAGCCCCACAGATGGAAGGTAAGTGTTGTGCATTTGGCCATGTTCTGGAAAGTGATGTACTCTCCTCCCATCTTTGTTTTGGCTGCTTTGGGATACACATCCATGGATTTACAGGAAGAAGCAGCTAAATAAAATGTTATCTGCACTGCCTGGTGTTCCCATACTCCAAGTCATACAAAATTGCATGTGGCCTTTTCTAACCCTGTTACACAACATTTTCATTTCCAAGATGCTCTAGGATATACTAGAGAGGGAAAGAAGTCTTTTTACTTCCTGAATACCAAGCAGGAAAATTGAGGCACTGTCACAGATGGAGTAATGCACTTCACTGAGAAGCAATGGTATACTTTGTTGATATAAAGTAGTGAGTTAACAAAATTCAATGGTAAATGCATCAGTCGTTTAACAAGATTTGATGGCAAGGTACACTTGATTATTTACTGCATTTAGGACAGAGTCACACAAAACTGTCAGGGAGACCCTCTCGTTGAGTCATGAGGTTCAGAAAGGACCCCCTTGAGTTCTACAACACCTTCTCAGAGAGGAGTCTAGGTGCAGCAGGATCCACTTCTAGTCCCAGTCTTGGTCAGCAGTTTACATCTAAAGGATTATATATGCACAATCAATCTTTTATATCACTTTTAGCTAAGATTTTAAAGTTTAGCGTGCTATTAATCACTTACCAATAATCTGTTGTGGCAAAGAATCTCTCAGCCTCGAGGAGTAACCTTGAGAGGTGTCCCTACTCAAGGGGAGATCCCGGCGTGTAGCCCGCTGCCTTGCAAGAGAGCTCAATGGGCCTTTGGCTGTCCACTATTTATAAAGTAAGATGATTGACTTATAGTCACATTTGCATGCCAGCAAGTCATCTGGGTCACCATTGCAGACAGCCCTTGGCTATTGTGTTGTCATCCATCCTCCAAAGTCCAGAGGAAGCTGGATGCAGCCATCACAACTGGAGATGTTTAAGAAAAGACTGGACATGGCACTTAGTGCCATGGTCTAGTCGACATGGTGGTGTTAGGGCAAAGGTTGGACTCGATGATCCCAGAAATCTCTTTCAACCAAACAGATTCTGTGTTATGTGATTCTGTGAATAACCCCATGCACCAGTACTGGCTGGGGGTTGACCTGCCGGAGAGCAGCTCGGTGAAGAAGGACCTAGGAGTCCTGGGAGACATCAAGTTGTCCATGAGCCAGCAATGTGCCCTCATGGCCAAGAAGGCCAATGGTATCTTGAGGTGCATTAGGAAAAGTGTGGCCAGCAGGTCGAGGGAGGTTCTCCTCCCCCTCTATTCTGCCCTGGTAAGGCCACATCTGGAGTACTGGGCCCAGTTCTGGGCTCCCCAGTTCAAAAAAGACAAAGAACTACTGGAGAGAGTCCAGTGGAGGGCAGCGAAGATGGTGAGGGGTCTGGAGCATCTCCCTTATGAGGAAAGGCTGAGAGAGCTGGGTCTGTTCAGCCTGGAGAAGACTGAGAGGGGATCTTATAAATGCTTATAAATACCTGAAGGGCGGGTGTCAAGAAGGTGGGTCCAGACTTTTTTCAGTGGTGCCCAGCAACAAGTTAAGGGGCAACGGGCACAAACTGAAACTCAGAAAGTTCCACCTGAACATGAGGTAGAACTTCTATACTTTGAGGGTGGCCAAGCACTGGAACAGGCTGGGTAGAGAAGTGGTGGAGTCTCCTTCTCTGGAGATATTCAAAACCTGGCAGGATGCGATCCTGTGCAACTTGCTGTAGGTGAACCTGCTTTGGCAGGGGGGTTGGAGTGGATGACCTCCTGAGGTCCCTTCTAACCCTAACCATTCTGTGATCCTGTGATTCTGTGAAAACCTTTTCAATACTCACTGAACTGTGGGCATCACCAAAATCTCACGTCAGTGAGGTCTGAAGTTACCCATTATGACATTAAAAGTTTCCAGTCTTGTTGTGCAGCTTTTTTATTTTCCCTTCACAAATAGTGGTGCCTGGCGGCATATCAGTACCTGGTAGCTGACCACTGCAGTGCATTGTATGGGAAGCAGAGCATCTTAAGTCATCTCTGTTTAACAGAAGGGCAGCCGAAGCCAATAAAGGCTAAAGGTGGGAATTCATCATCTCCCTTCAAACTAGCAAACAGAAAGATGTCTGTCAGCTATATGGTGGGTGACTGATGGCACACTGTGGCCAACTGGAAGAGAAGAGTCCTTTTAGAGGAGTGTCCAGTGGTAGAATTGTCTTAGGGGTCCTATTTCTCCCCATCAAGCATGTAGCTATAAACAGATAATATTAGGGAAGAGGAATTCATTTGTACTTTGCTTAAGATAATTCAATGAGTCAGTGGTGGCAAAGTCAAGAATTAATACGGGTCTTGCAAATCCTCTGTGAAAGAAACCAAGAGACAGCCTTTCCTCTGGTCCTGCTCCATGCTACACATGTCTGTCATATTCCTCTCCCTAAGAAGTCATCTTGTCTTTTAAGACCTTTCCTCCAGTGGAAACCTCCTATGTTCCCAATGCTTTGTGAAGCATTACAGTGTTTTCTTTCTTGCTAGTTTCACATATTCAATGGTAGCAAATACTTTTATTGGACCAACAAAATCCAGATTCTTCATTCACTGGAGGAGGTGGTGTGTGATGTATATGGGGTATGAAGGTGTCTTTGTATTTTCCTTCCAGGGAGAATGGCTATGAGACATTCAAAGCTTCTGTCTTCATTCCTCGCAAGATGCAGGCCAAGTTCCTACTGCATTATGAAGAGCTTTTGCAAAGGCGACTGGGAAAATATGAGTATACAGTCAGCATCCGGCCCCAGCAGCTGGTTGGGAGGTTACGAGTAGAGGTGAACATCCTGGAGAACTCAGGCATAGTTTCACTGGAAGTGCCTCCCCTTCGAAACAGCAAGCATAAAGGCAATGGGAAAATTGAAGGTAAGGAGAGATTTTATGACCCATGGTTCTGTTACTTGTGGGGCCTTAATCACTTCTGAAGAACTGGACTGGCAGTGTTAGGAGTTGTCCAAGGCAACCTTGGATAACTGTGTAGATTGGTGTTTCATTCGCTTTCCTTCTGCTCCAGATAAGGTATTAAACAAAACTGCAACATTGTTTTAAAATAACATTGTCTAGGATCAAGACTGTATTAGAAACTAGAGGACACATCTCATGAAGACAAGAAAAGTGAATGCTAGCAGCTCATTAGGCATAAATTATTCTGGCAAATTCCAACTATGACTTTATTTAGAAATTTATTTTTACTTTCCCTTCTTAACTCTTGCTGCACTCACTGTATGACGGGTACATTCCACCCCAGAGCTGGTTTCATTTGAGTGACAACCAAGTTTCTAAGCATTGCAGGCCATCAGCAATTCCTGTTTAGAGATCTCTTCTTCACTGGCAGGGCAATCTCCAGGTTCATGAAAGCTGGTAGAATGGCTACAACATGAAAGGGATTTCAGGATTATGAACTCTGTGCACTTGAGTGGTGGGAATTCAGTTTTATCATAAAGGCTGATGGCTTTTGTTCTGTTTTCTATAGATGACTGTGTCTATGTGGTATCTGTGCATAAGCATGTGAGAACTTTGAAGGTTAATGAACATAGGGCTCAATAGGATTTTTTTTTGCTATTGTCTTTATGAGCTTTGAACTGGGCCTTCAGGCCTTGTGCTCAGCACTGAGCAGGCTCTTCCCTGGCTCCACATCTCCTGGGAACTGTTTATTTTAAGTGAATTGTTTTTTCCATCCATCCATGCCAAGGCAGATAGGAAATCCTGCATTTTAGAACATGGGAAATTCCAAGAGGAAAATGCCAAAGCACTAGGTGTGGTCTGAGTATCTACTCTTACCCTCAACTATCCTTGCTTGCTGTTCAGACAGTGTAAAGGTAATTTTCCTAGTGTAAACTAACAGTGAGGGGCACAGGATACTGTGATTGCTACATGTTGACTTGTTGACAAAAAACCCTCACCAAAAAAAGAAGGTGAGTCTGACCTGGAAGCAGGATGTAGAGTCCTGTGGGACTTGATCCTCAGTTACTCTAAGTGACATAATGCCAGCAAAATCAGTGGAGCTGTTCATGTCTGCCAGGTAAAGATCCTAAAGCATGATAACTGCAGTTAAACTGATTGTTTAGTGTGATCTTACTGATTTCATCCAAATCACAGTGAAATCAAGGTTCTCGGTGATTTGGACTAGCTTCAGGTCAAGTCTCATGCAGCTAATTAGTTTCTGTGCCGTACATCCATGCACTATGTGATAAATGTGCTCTGCTCCTCATCAGGAGAGACAGGAAGCCTTTTTCACCTATCAGGGAGTATCATAGTGCATTGTGGCATATGGTTTCATGCAAAACATCTGGCATTGATCAAGGTTCGAGACAGACTAAGCAGAGCAGACACACTGTTGGTCTAGTGCAGTATGGAAATTCCTATATGTAAATGACTTTCAGGGAAAACTCTCCTAATTTGCTATCCAAATGGCAATCTGTGAACACTGATCATTCTTGGCACTGTGCTTCAGATTTCAAACTGCTCATATAAAACTGGGCCCAAGCTCTAGGATTCCATAAACCTCCCTAGCCAGTAAAATGTATGTAAAATAGATGTCCCATTGCAGGATGGGTAATGCAACTGAAGCTCTGATTCCCTGTGCTTTATCCTTGCTTGGAATTCAATTACACACCCTTTCTATCTGGAATAACCCTATACAGTTGGTTAAAACTGTTTGTTGTGGTGAAATCGCTGCTATGGAAGTCACTGAAATGCCAAATACACTTTTGGGGTCCGTCATGGGCAGTCAGGAGTGGGTTGTGTCCCTGCTAGATCAAGTCTTCATTGGTACTCAGGTGACTGTCACTCAGATGAGTGTATAGGGTTAATGAATTCAGTAGATTTGCTGAACTTCTTTCTCATCCAAAGCAAGATGAGGAGATTAGGACATTAACAGCAGCCAGACCAAAAAAAAAGAAAAAAAAGAAAAAAGAATTGGCAGAGAGTCTCAGAAGGGTCTAATACAGGTCACAGAGAAGGACAGCTTGTTTTGAATAGGAGGGATTTATTGCTTGTGACCTCTTCTGGCCAACAAGGTTGATAACACTCGGAACAGACAGTAGGAACTTCCTGCCTTCCTAAACACAAATGGTAACCACAAGAATATTCCTAGGGAGGGCAAGGCCAAGGCAAGGAGCATTTCACTTGGAAATCCACTATATTCCAGTTGGCTGTCATGTCTCAAGCTTGATCCAAAAAGTAAAAGATCTGAGTCATTAGATCTGCCCTGCAAAGCCTTCTTGCTCCTATGACAATGAACGACCCAAAGCGTGAGATCTGCACGTCCAGTGAGACCTCCAGGGAAGGCTATGGGTTTTTAAGTAAAAGACAGGTGAATTGCGAGTCTTACATTCAAAGGGTGGATGCTTGGCAGACAGTCTGCAAACTGGGAGTAAATCTGCAAACTGGGAATAAACCAGGAATAAGACAGTGTCTGGTCTCTTCTTGGATTCCTGTGGCTTAAAACTCTTCAGTACCACTTGACTGGAGAGCACAGTAGCAATCTAGTAAGTAAGTGACCAGCAAAGGATGCCAGACCAGATACTGCCATACTGTGTTACCTGTCGTGTCCCAAATGTGAGGTCATGACTTAAAAAAAATGACCAAATAAGGAATGGAGGCCTGCACATTGGAAAATGATAGCACCTGACTGGTTTGAGTTTGAATATGTCTCTTCCTCAATTTCCTATGTCTACAAAGATGTAGTACCTGATGGTTAATGACAAAATGTGAGATTTTTGATAAGTATTAACAGATTACCTTGACCATGTTGGGTGAAAAATGTACTGTGACATCACGTCATCACTTAAATGGCATTCTGAGTAATATGTCTGAAGTGCCGCCAACATGAAACCATTGTTGAGAATGGCATCTAGCTTTACAAGTCGTTTAGACACTTTTGACTCTGACTGACCTGGATAAGAAATAACATTCTTTTTCTGAGTACAGGTCCTGAAGATCCAGTGTAGGAGAGGCAAATTAAGTTGAAAACCATATATGCTTGGCTTTGGAGTCATCCACAGCTCCACATTATGAGCACCAGCAGTGACTGATGTTCATAACTGAAATGCCAACCTGTTGTAGTGATAAATGCCTTTAGCAAAACTAATGAAAAAAATAATAACAATAGTTCAGACGACTAAAAGTGGATGAATAGCTGATCTGCCTTTATTTCATGGACCAATCCTCTTACATTTGTGGTTCTTTCTACATGCTATCCATAGCGCCAATGCACCATGCAGGAAGCATAGTGGAAAAAACAGTTTCTCTGTTTAATGGTCTTTCAGGATTTGTGCTTTTGACTCCAGCCAAAGTGCTAGTATCCATACAGTCTGTGATGAACAGAAGAGATAAAACTTAAAGACCTATAGACAGAAGATGTCCCTTGATGAGAAAGATTGAAGGACACTTTTTTGGGCCATTTTTAGAATAGTGCCGAAATCACAGCAGTAGGAGCAGAAGCAGTAAAAAGTCCAATTCTGCCTGGTTTTGGCTGTAGAGGCCCAAGATACAAAGATTGGACTTGGTTCCACAAACTTCCAGTGATTTATGAAAAGTAAAGCTGTGCTTTGCTATAGACAGAGGCGCTTGGAAAGTCCTGCATACATCCTCTCTGAATATGAAGCAGAGATAATGTGATGACAGGTCTTTCCAGGATATTTCCTTTGTCAGTGACAAAGGAGCTCCATCTGGGAGTTGTATTTTTCCCAAAGGAAGATATTAGGCATGTGAGTTTTAGAAAGTGATCTTTTGGTATGTGCAGGTGTTGTCTTCTGTCACATACAAACCCCAAAACAGGAGACATTGAGGCCAATGATCCTGGCCTTCTCTGGTGACCTCGGAATGGAGCCATTTTCTGAATGATGCCCTACCCAGCATCCTCAGGGGTGACTGTCCTCATCCTTTTCCTCCAGTGCAGTGGTGTAACAACTAGTCATGGACTTGGACAGGCTGCTTGAGAATGACTATTTATCTTCAAAGTCACAGGTCTCAGAAAGGTTTTTATTTCTTATCACAGTTGTCTAGAAGTTTCCACATGTTAGTGGAGGATGAACTTTGCATTTGAGCTCTAATCCTGACTCTGCCAGTCTCCAAAATAATTTAGGTTTAACTGCCCATCATGTAAGGACTACAGTTTCATATGAAAAATGCCTTTTCCTACTCTGTTTACTTCTTCAGCTGAATTTCGTGGAAAGTTTGTCTAAAGGCCCTGTTAACTACCTCAGTGTGAGCACACACCAGCTCAAGTCTTTGGAGCTCCTCCATGCTCTATACTCTGCAATATCTCATAGATTTTCCTCTCTCAGTCACTTGTTTGAAAAGAACTTGGCCAACAAACAGTGATCCAGATACCAAGTGCTGCCTAAAAAAAGAAAGCTAGGAGAAGACATAATAACTGTATTCAAATATATAAAAGGCTGCTGCAGGAGGAAAAGAATACTATGCTTTCTGTGTCAATAGCAGAAACAACAAGAAATGGCGGGTTTATAATCCAGAAAGAAAAATGTAAATTAGGCATTGAAAATGTCTCTGAAATAGTGAAGCTCTGTAAAGGTCTGGCAAGGGCAGATACTGAGTTTCCATTACTGGAGGTCTGGAGTGTTTCCAGACCAAGTCATAAAACCAAGTAGGAAGAGATTTAGTCTGGGAACATGGGATGAACTACACAACCTGCTGTCCAGATCTGATTTTATTATTTCAGGGGAAAAAAAGTTATTTTGGACCTTTTCTATCAGACCATTTTTTGATTTTAATTCCACCCTGGAGATGGGAGATGAATGGCTAAGAAGAAGATGAGAGAGCTTCCCCAGCTATTCTTGTCACTGACAATGGCTATGTGAGGTAGCCTTGGAAATCCCCTCACCAGTGGTTCCTAAAGCATTGTCTGTGTTATAGGGGATGACATTTCTCACCTCCAAAGACTGTTTTAAGGAGTCATAGAGGAATGCAATGTGATCCACAGCATCCCATCTAGATTCCATAGGGCTTTACAAAACTGGATACATGTGATTATGCCCATTTAACAGATGGGGAAACTAAGGCACGGAGTGGCTACCTAACTCAGCTAATTTCAGATGGTCAGAGTCCATAGAAATGCTAGGACTGGAACTCATGCTGTTGTGGCGCACAGCATATTGTGTTCACTCGTCAATGTAGTTATGGCAGAGAAACACAGAAGTGAAGTTCAAAGGCCACAGCCATGGATGTTTATGTGCAACAGGTATAAGGAGAGACCTTCTGTTTCCAGTGTGAGGCTGACTTTCACTAACCCTGATGTGATATGGCCAGGCAGCCTAACCAACGACAATGCTTGCTTTTCAGCAGTTGAAAAGAAGTAATGTGAAATTCTCAAATAGATTAGAAAATGTAAATGAACTGTTAAGCCATTGCTATGAATTCTGAGCATTTCCCACACACTGGCAGATAAACGGGATTTCAGAAGTGACAGAAGACAGATGGAAAATCCAGGAAGGCCAATACAAGCAAATCTGATGCATTGTGTATTAAAAACATACTACATCTGTTGATTCATCAGATCAGAGGGCAGTTATAAAAGTAAAACCAAAACAAGATGGAGGTAAAATCTTACAGATCTATTGATTTATGACTTTTCTTTGCCAGGGGAAATCTCAACTGTACACAGATTTTAGAATAAATGTCAAAGCTCTGTGTAATCATTTTATAAGCCTCTTTTAAGATCTGACACTAGTGTCCTTAAGTGATTTCAATGTATTATCTGGGATCTGTCTTTCTGTTTCTGTCAGGATGGTGTGATTGAAATTGGCATAGCCAGAGAAGCCACAATGTAGAGTCAATTCTTGACTTTACTGAAATAGAGTAATATCTGTCATTCAAACTCCTTTGGTCAAGACTTTTGCTGATGAGTTTGTTTCACATTCCAGGTCCTCCAACTACAATTTATTTGTGTAGAAATTTGGCCTATGAGGAAGCTCTTCCCTACCTCAATAGTATGGTCTTGTGCCTTGTCTATTCACATGGACTCACAGGACAGCTATAAAAGTAAAACCAAAACAACATGGAAGTAACATTCTAGAGTGCTATGGATTTATGACTCTTACTTTCATTCCTTTGCTTAGAGGAGTCTAGATTAGACATAGTACTTTAGAGTAAATGTCACAGCTTTGGCTAATCATTTTATAAACCCACAAGAACCCTACTCCCAGCATTTCTTTGGACTTTGACCTGTGAAAAGTCAGGTGAGTTAGGTAACCACTCCATGCCTCTGTTTTCCCACTTGTTAAACGGACATAATCATATGTATCCAATTTTGTAAATCACTGTGGGATCTGGATGTGAGGTGGATTGTGTTCAATGTTGCATACAGATGTCATGTTGCATTCCTCTAATGCTGCTCAAAGCACTTTACAAAGATGGAGAAGTGCCACTCCTCCTTACACAGACAGTGTTATAGGAACCCCTGGAGAGGAGCTTTCCAAGACTGCCTGCACCTTGTCACTTTGATCAGTATTGTTGATGGGGTACAGCATATAATTAAAATCATCCTAAAGCAGATGTCTGTGTCTGACCAAATGTATCACACCCTAATCTCCCCTCACACTCTTGACTTCAGCTCCATCAAGTATAGAAATTTTCTAGGAGACGTACGTTTTTGCAATGGGAATATCTAAGCCAAAACTGAATCTCACCCATCTTTTCTTTTCCCTGCCATACCACAGACTTCTTGGGCCATCTTCAGCAAAGAATTGAGACACACACACTCCGCCAGTATAATTGAGGAGCTCATTCCCACCAATTTTATCTGCACGTAAGCAGATATAATGGAACTTCTGTGCCTCAGAGGAGTGTTGAAATAGTCAATGTGACAGCTGAAGTACCCAAGAAGAGTATCGGCTGAGAATCTATTTTGGTGTTTCCAATAGCTGGTTAGGATAAGGGGGAATGCCCTCAAAATCTAGGGAAGTTCAAGGCCAAGACCTTTGGCTAGGCTCATGTAAGGGTCCTTACAGAGTTCGGGGGAATGAACAGTTGGCACACCAAAAGAGAGTAAGGTGGGATTTTGGCCACACAAAGAGACAACAAGGAATCTCCATATCCCTCGACTTTAGAAAATGTACACAGCTAACAAGACAAGCAGAGGTATCCTTCAGGGTGACTCAGACTTAAATTATTGTCTTTCTCTGAGATGCCCTCTGAAAGGCACATCTCTCTTCATTGACTCAGGAATGGCTGTAGGAGAGCAGGGTGAGTGAAGATAGAGGCAGCTAAGATGACTTGTTCAGATGTAGACATTACACATAAGACGCTTGTCAGATCAAGTGATCAATTAGTCAGATCAATCCCACCTCACATGCCTACAGTACATCTGAACAAGTCACCTCAAGAACTCTTCATAATCAATAGGCAGAAATCTGCAGTATGATTCATGTAATTCTAGAGGAAATGTTTAAATAGGTCAAATGAATCATTGCATTGACTGGCAGGATCTCAAGTATAGGATCTGCATTCTAGATGTCCAGAGATGGCTGGAATGAATACCACTTATATGTCTGAAGTTGTGTGTTCACTATCTATAGGAAGCGATTAAGAGTCATACAGAGAATATCTGGCCTTGGAGTTCAGTGACCTCCAAACAGAAGTGAGCACTGGAATTTTGCCTAAACATTTATATCCCTGATAGCATTGCAATGTTGGTTTCAGTTTAGAAATAGAGGGGAGGGGTTAGTAAGTTCTTATTTTATCACCGATGAGCTGAATCTTTAATCTCAGTATGTAACCATGCTAATTGACCTGAATCCATGGTAATACTGTGTGTGCTGTGCTTAGACATCTGTGAGACAATGGGAAAAACTTGTAATATTGTGTTTTTTATCTCAACAGGTGATGTTTCTCCTCCTCCTTCTACTGTAGTTGGACACACCAAAACCCTAGCTAAAGTTACGTTCAATCCCACTGTTGTTGAGCAAACCAGGATAGCCAGAAATGGCATTTTGGGAGACTTCATAATTAGATATGATGTCAACAGGGAGCTGAGTGTTGGGGATGTTCAGGTACTGTACACGTGACATCTTTGCTGTTCTATTAACTATACCTGAGATGGTTCAATTGTCTTGCGTGCTCCAAATGTCCTACAAAATATTTTCCAAGTGAAGCCTACTTCTCCATCTTGTAAGAAATGAAACAGTCAAGTGGCAGCCACAAGATGGACTTAAAAACCATGGGTGCCTACTTCACTGAGTTTCTTTTTTGTGTCTGCTTTTCAGCTTCTCAGTATACTGGCTGCATATATCTGGATACAAGGCCAGTTTCCCAAATGCATGTTGTGGTTCTGATCCCTGGACACATACGTTGTACCCTTACTGCATTTGGAAGGAAATTCCAATGTCCACCATGGAAGGAGGGGTGGAGATCTCCAGTAGGCTCCCCTAGTCTGGATAAACAGGGGACCAGAATTAAGAGAGATACCACGGAGCACTCATATCCTCCAATGTAGACACAGACATTGAAAGCAGGATCAGGTGTGCCCAACCAAATATCCCGTAATGACATGTGGGGAACATTGCATCATGATCTACCTTCAACTCCTGACTTCCTTGCTCTCCCACAGATTCTTAATGGATATTTCGTGCACTACTTTGCCCCCACGGATCTTCCTCCATTGCCAAAGAATGTTGTATTTGTGCTTGACAGCAGTGCTTCCATGGTGGGAACAAAACTGAAACAGGTGAGGTCCTTGCATTTATTATATTTATTCAGACAATATTATTATATTTATTCAGACTTCGTCTCACCAGATGGGTTCTTTTGCAAAATGTTTGCTATATCTGAGGTGAGAGGAGGCTCTGAAGACACTTCAAGGTGAGATGATTTACCTGCAATGACAAATTCTTATGCTAGTGGGAATGGGATGGGAACAAGAAGTGCAGAGGACTTCATCACTCTGTAAAAAAGGTCAGTGCTGTCAAAGCTAAGCTAGGATGCTGCAGATAGGATTGTCCTAGGCAGCTCTGAGCAGTTTGAAGAGAGGCAGATTAGGGAGAGTTCCCAGCAAAGTACATTCAGCAGACCATTGTATCCAGCTTAACAGCAGAGAGAAGATACTGCTGTCTTTAAAATACCTTGGCAAAACCATTAGCAACATATAACTCAGTGGGTTCTGTTGAAAGGCCAATTTGTCCTACTTGAGAATCTGAGTCTTTCAGAACAAATCTCAGACATTTTTCCAGGGCACAGATCTTAACATGAGCAAACATACCAAGCTGAAGGGCACATCACTAATGCTTAAAATTGACCTTTGACATGGAGCATTCAGGCTGGTGCCTAAATGTGTTTGGTTTTTCAATTCTCTGACCTGGACAGATGGAAGCCACCTGTGGTTCAGGACCCAAGTAGTTGGCTTGGAAGGGCATCTTGCCTGAGGGAATATACTCTTTCTCTTGGCACAGTATTATCAGTCTAAACTAGAAGCAGACTGTGCCTGGGGAAATATACTCTATTTCTCAACACAATATCATTAGTCTAAACTAGAAGCAGAGATGAATTAAGACTTCAATTCTGTTCTGAATGTTCTGAATGATTTGACAGATATATCTCAGATCTGCAAGCACACTGGAGAGGTAAGTCCAGTTTCCATCTTATATATCTGTGCAGAAAAGGAGAAAAGTCCTGGTAGGGTTAGTATTGTTTCCTTCCATTTGAGGTATGGCATGAGATATGGAGAAGTTAGTTGGCCTCTCTCTGTTTGATGGCCACATCTTTACCTTCTTCTTTCTTACCCTGGCTGAGCTAATGACAGTGGAAAGTGACACTTTCCACATAGGTTAACAATGATATGGGGCAGTTTCAGCTTGTATGGGTGGTGTGATGTAACTCTACCAGAATGACTGAAGGCCAGTGGCTTGGGCTTGTGTCTTGGTCAGCTAAGGAGTTCTAATTAGTCCATTCAGGCTCCTTGGTTGCACTGCCTGGAACATGGTGATATTTCTGGGAAGTGTGGTTATTTGAGAGCCTTTTTTTTTCTTCCTTGGTCACCAACATTTGCCCAAATGTCCTTGACAAACACCATGGTAATTGTCTAACAGTTCTCTGTCTTTGAACAAGGACATGACGAGTATATATGCCTTTCTCTCTCTGCTAAAAAATTTATATCTGGTTTCAATGGTGATCATAAATCTTAATGTAGAAGCTGTGTTCCCTATTAAATCAAATTATCTCCTAATGAGCTAAAAGGGAGTATGACTTTTATGGTTCCTAATTATTTTCCCCAGTGACCGGTGTAGCACAGAGATAGTTGTTAACAAACATACCTAGTACTATGCTGAATGAGATCTTGAAGGGAGATGCCTTTGAAATCTTTACAAATTCCCATGGACAGAGCCTGGCTCTTGGCTTTCTGTTATCCTTCTACTGAAAACTGTCTGCTTTGCCTAGCAGAATAAACAGATAGGGCACAAATGCACCCACTCTTGCATGCTGAAAGCAGACAGTCAGTGATACAGCACTGAACCAGGGAGATTTAGACTCTGAAGGTCTTTGGTGCTAGTGTGAGCTGTGTAAGTAGTGCCCCGGGTCAGCAGATTAACCTTGTACTATGAAAGCTTTTATTCTCCTCCTGAGTGTATTAGTGTTTCTTTTTCATATACTTACTAGAAACAACATGGCCATTAACCCCTGAAGGTCTACGTCATAGCCTAGCCAGCTCCTGCTGCTGAACATACATGACTCAGGCTACAAATAGGTGCCTCTTGAGCCTAAAGTGACAGAAGTATCTAGCCAGAACCTTTGTTGAGGGTGTACCCAACTTTTTGCCTGTTACCTCAGTATACACTTTTTATGGAGAAACACTGGTACATTACGGAGGAGTGCTATGTGCAGGAAGCACATATATTCCTCTGATTTCTACTGCTCCAAAAAAATAGAACTTCATGGAATTATGACCTAAATCATAAAAAACCCACACAGATTTGTCAAGGAAAGACCAAAGGCTAAATAACATGCCTCTTTTGGTATGCTAAGAAAGTGTGATCAGTTACAGCCATGGCCCATGTCTGCTCAGTGGTATTTTTACCCAATTGTTGTTGTTATTAAGATGTTTGTTAAGTTACAGACATGTCCCCTGGTGGCAGGATACATCTGAGCAGAGGAAATGCCTCCTTTTCGTCTTTTCTCTCGACTCTTGCAGCTGCGGTGATCTATGGTGATGTGTAGAGAGCTGGGAATTCCCATGGGACCGTTTTTCCTCATTTCTCCCTACTGAGTCACATGCAAGACCAGCTAAAAATACAGTCAGCACTTGTAAAGAGTGCTCTTGCAGGTCAGCTGCAGTAACTATGGCAAAGGACAGATTTTAGGGTTGTATAAGCAAGGATGAGAAACATCAGCTGTGCAACCTTTTCGATAGTAACTCAAGGAGATTTTGTACTCTTCAGCCACCTGCTTTCATGAAGTTAATGGCAAAGTGAGTCAAATGGACTTCATGCATCCTGTGGTTCCCACAATCTAATTGTGAGTCATTTCTCTTTTCCTCCCTCAAGGTTTTCCTTTTCCTACATGAATTTTTATCTGTTTGTGCCAACCCTTTCTTCGCAAGATATCTCAGTCTTTGAAGCAACAAGATGTCCAGACCCAGTTGCAAACACATATAGTGAGACTGGTTGATCAGCTTAAACCAAATCATTAAGTCCCTTCATAAATTCCCCTCACATCATTGAGACATATGCTAACTTTGTGGGGAAGATCAGCTAATGTGAATATTCCTCCTGCAGTTTTCAGAGCCTCTGAGTTCTGGTGATGTCTAGCAGACTCAGGTGTGTTGCAGCAGTCCACCTCCACTGAGAATCTGGGTCTTTGCAACAGTCACCTTCTAGCACTGGCAGGGAGATAAAGTTCAGGAAGAGAAAACTCTTCAGCACGATCATAAAAAAATTCTTCATGTGTTCAAGGCTTCGCACGTCATTACTGCTGTCCCACTGGCAAGGAAAACACTGGTTTTGTCCTCATGAGCTTTGTTCCTTCGTTTACAAAGAGACAGTAAGCTCCGTGTGGAATAGTTGCTTTTAAAGGGAGCCAAAAGAGCCTGGGTAACAGGATATATCTGCAAGGTTTACCGGGAAGCAAAATGAGCAGTCTGACCTGCTGATTTTTATGGTAGCTTTGACCAGGTAGAAGGGAACATAGCAGTTTTATGCTGGTATAGCTAGGAGAAAGAGGGGCCAGTTATAGGTTCACCACTTTGTGATTACCATAGTTACCCCCAGCTTCACTAAACATGGTGAAAAAGGACCTTTATCAGCCTGCAATTCAGTGTTACGGAACAAGCATGTTCCAAGCTATGAATGTGTCTGCAAGAGGATGGATTTGCAGATATTTTGCAGACATGCGGTAAAATGTAGTTGTTTCAACCCCAGATTCACTTCGCCTTACCTTTTCCACAGGCAACAAATGCCCACACACTCAGCTAAACAGTTGGCTACACCACAAGCCTGGCAACTTGTCAATGGTAGTGTGCCAGACTGTAATTTTCTTTGAGGTTAATTGCTCTAGGAGGAACTCAACCGAAGCTGGGACCTGCTGCGTATTTACAAGTGCTTCAGTCTATTTGCCTGCATCCATCCAAGGGACACTGTTGGTACCCTTGATCTCTGACCCATACTGTCTGAACCCTTCTCGGGGCCCGACTGCCTTACATATACATATCCCTAAACCTCTGTGCCTCAGCACACAGACTCCCTCTGAGTAGTTTCAGGGTGGTGAGAGAGCAGACAAGCACCTGAACACTCAAAGTTCTCACTCCAGACTCTACTGACTTCTGCTGGTTGCTGCAGATCTGGCTGCGGGCCATTTGACTGCTAGTCCAAATAATGGCTGCTGCCCAGGAGAACTACCTTAAATTGCCAGGGGACCTTGGAAAAAAATGCTAATTCTAATTACAGCCTTCAGTGAGTTTAAAGCTACTGTGAAGAAGAAAGATTTTTCAGCTTTTCCATTTCTGTTGGAAAGCAACAACCTGAGTGAACGCAGAACTGTATGCAGTGTCTCCAGCACCAACAACTTCACACAGCTGCCTCCTACTAGGGAATATACAACAGCAATGTCATCTCAGTCCTTTCTGTAGATGTGAATATGGAATATAGGAACTACTACAGTAAATAAGATATCAGATCCACGTAGACTTTAATTGCCCAGCTTCCAAGAAAGATGCAAGTACTTGTCATGCAGCAAAATAATCTGCCTTCCCCAAACCCTGAAACTTATAAGTGATGACAGGGTCATACAGAGAAACAAGTAACCTTCAGAGCAAGATGCCCTCAGATATTCAGGACAGGGAGCATCTGCTTCAGATCTCAGGACCAACAGCCAACATGCCCACAGCTGATTTGTTCTATACTGAGGCAGTAGAAGTAGAGAGAGAATTTCCTAGGAAGACCCTAGCCCACCTATAAATGGCAAGTCATTTAATTGGGTTCAGAGTAAACAGGATGCAAAGGCAAGTGCAGAGTTCGGCATGGAAATGCTGCTGAGGCTTGAACTGAAACCCGAGGAAGACACTGGTAGTTTTCCCAAGGCTTTCAATTGGACCTTTGCTGAATTCATCAAAGGATGAACTGAAAACAGGTGCTACTGAAGTAGCAGACACAGCCCAGTGATCACCAGGCAAGTCTGTAGTGAAAAGGATGAGGCTAAATCAGCCTGGGAAGTCAGTCCATGGATTAGGGTCATTGAGGT